CGAGCCAATGCAGAAGTTAACTTTATAAATGTGTTAATAAAACCACGTTTAAAAACCAGAAATTGATCGCGTTTTGAATGGGGGAAATTGTTAGGAAGGTAAGTTGTCTGGGCGGCGAACTTTGGAGGATTCTGCGGGATAAAGTCAACTTTGAGGACAGCACCACCACGGAACCACAGGTAAGATTTCTTTTAAAATAATATAAAATTCAATCTAATTTGTTAAACAACACCACCAGCAGCAGCAGCATCATCTCGAGCGTCGGACCAGCTACTGTTGCTCCGCGCTCGCACATGTTCGAACAGCTTATATATTCAAATACCGGCGACACGCCAGCGTCGAGAAATTTGCTGGCAAAGCAAATAGATTCTTACTCTATGCGGAAAGCAAGTGACTGGGGCTGCCTCCGCGCCGGTCAGTGTGACCAGATCGACCGATGACGATAATCCCGCTTTGGGTAATCGGGTTATTGGGCGATGATTATCTGCGATCGATAACTCCGTCGAATAAAAGTAACGGGGTGTTGTTGACCTTGATCTCGCGTTTGGAATAATTATTCAAAATTAAAACCAATATTTGGAATGTTCTTATGTTTAATTTTAATGTAAATGTTTGAATATGGTTTGTATTTAGCGGTAGATATTCTCATTAAAAAATATTAGTTATAAAATTCTTAGATTAATCAAAAAATTAGATTAAATTTTATATTCTTTTAAAAGAAATCTTATTTGTGGTTCTGTATCTCGCTTCCCCCACGCTGGTAGCCGAAACGCTCGGCGGGATTATTTCTACTCAGCTTCGTAATCAGATTGCTGTCATTATGCGTGATATTCTTTAAGAAATGTGTAATTAAATAGTTATAAATCTCTAAAGTAGCTGGTTTTAATGCAAGGATGGCGCAATATTTGATTTATGTTGAATATAAAATCTCTTTTTCGTAAAAAATACTGAAAACAATAGCAAGTGCAGCAAACCCTGCTCGCAGGTCCACAATGCATTACTGATGGATCTCTGGCAGGAAAATACTGCCACATATACGAGGATCCTTGCCCTTTCATAAAAACTGTGGTGCTCTCCTTTCAAAATTGAATAAAAATATCTTATGATATTTGTTTTTTTAAGCTTTTGATGATGCAGATGCAAAGAAGAAACAAACAAAAAATATAAATTTTTTTGGGATGTGTATTTTACTAATATGGGCAGCTAGGGCCCCAAAAGATGGCATTTTTAAAAGTTGATAAATCTTAAACCATTAAAATTTTTAAATACAATTTTCAAAATAAAAAAATGCATCGTGCAACCCGCACAATTGGGCCACATTCTAGCGTATTATTTTCCCAAAAAGCAATAAAATTAAATGGTTAGAAAACCTCAAAATTCAATACGCACTCAATCGTGACCACGTGTTACTATATCTGAAAATTGTAGAAGAAGGATTGAGTTTTCCACATGTATTGAGCTCTCCCAGTCAAGCCCAGGTATCGAGTTTTCCAAACAGATTGAGCTCTTCTGTTACATCTCCCAGCACTTCCTTTGACGCTTTAACATAAGCGTCTTAAAGAGAAATATTAAAATCTATAAAGAGCAAAACATCAAATTTTGACGAGGACATAATGTTTTGAAGAGGCATAGCTTTTTATTATAAAAGGAAAAAAGGAAAGCAGTGAAAAAAACACAGCTTTGCTCAGAAAAAAAAACAGAATTGGAGCAATATATTTCCTCTTAGGATATCGAAAATGATGCTCTGATAAAAAGAAATTATGCCATTAGTAATAAAAACGATTCTTTGGAAAGTAAATATTTAGATTTAACGCTGGAGATAATGATTTTCCAAGATAAATCTTCCAAGCTACAGGTCAAAGTGACAGATCTGCTGTCCAAAATCTTAGAGCTTGAAAAGACATGTAGCACATATTAAGAGCGAAGTCTCGATGATGAATTTAAACTATTAAAGAACACGTTTTGGAATACTCAGATTTGCTTAAACGCAAGAGCATGCTGTAGCAATAAATGAAAATGTGGCTACATTCCAAAACATTGTTTCTAGAAAAAAGGGAACAGAAAACTATTCTTGCAAATATATAGTCCAAGGACATACAACTACATGAGACTAAATTTAGGTTTTAATATGCCGTCTGAGACATCTTTAAGAAGGTAGTTGCCTTTAAAAAAGTTCTTACCTAGCTTCTCAGGCGAATATATTGAAATATTGGCAGGATTTGTAAATGAGTGAGTCCGTAAAGAACTGCACAATTCTTTTTGATGAAATGTGCATAAAGTCAGGACTGGAGAATGTCCCCAAGTCTGACCGAGTGGTTGGGTTTGCAGACTTGGGAGACGGTTTTTCAGACGATGACAGATATTCATCTCCAGCAGAGGGTATGCTCGCCTTCATGATACAGGTAAAACCCTGAAAATAAGTTCTGGGCGTTTTCTTTGTAAATAATTTCATTCGAAATCACCATTATGCCAACATAATAAAAAGAGCAGTTGATTGTTGCGTAAATATTGGCCTTAATGTAACGGCTCTAGTGGGTGATCAAAGAGCTATGAATTGCTTAGCCTTTAGATCTTTGGATTCACTTCTGTTTAAGCCTGAGCCAAAATTCATTTTAGACTTTGTTCAGTCGTTTAAGAGTATTCGAAATAATTTCCCGAACAGAAATGTTAAATTACCTTTGGACCCACTTAAATTTTATGAAATTTCAAATAAGTGTCGCGTCTTGGAAGGTTATTCAAGAGTTCTATAGCATTGACTCATGCGGTGTATCTCGTATGGCTCCAAAGCTATCAGATAAACACGTTGATCCAAATAAATTTCAAAAATATAAATGTAAAATTGGCGACTCAGGTATTTTCGAACACTGTAAGCCATGAAATCAATGTATTGAGAAATGCTGGAATTTAACAAAGTTCTGTCAATGCATTGGCAATGAATGGTGGGTTTGACCTTTTAAATGAAGGCACTTATCGTTCAGATAATATCATGAAAATTTCATGCAGTTTTTGGATAAAATAAAGATTCTAGAGTTCCGCCATACGGGAAAGCCGTCAAGTGCAACTTGAGTAGCAAAGCTAAAAGAAAGCTGCCAAAGAATTATTAACGTATGTGATCGACTTTTACAAAACGCAAACGTTGAATTTATAGGTTTAAATAGGTTTTGTCAAGATCCATTAGAAAACTTTTTTGTGTTGCTAAGATCCAAATTTGGTAATTTCACAAATCCAACAGCACAGAAATTACTGTATGCACTAAAAAATTTGTGGGCGACAAAAATAATAAATGAGAACACAACCAAATACACAAATTGTATTCCTGATAGTGACATTTCCTTAGACTGGTTTTATGAGCCAGGATTGATCGAGGAAATTGACAAAAGCAGAATACAATATTAAAGTTGTTTGGAAAAATCAGAATTTCCATCTCAAATTGTTTTAGAACCAAAAGAGACTGCTCGAGTACGTCGGGTTCTGCGTCTTTGCAAGAAACGATCTACTTGGTTTTTCCGGATATTCACCCCTGATGATGTTTACTCGAAACTCGTCGGAAAGCAAGTGACTGGGCCTGGGGCTGCCTCCGCTTATATAGGCACCGGTTAGTGTGAACAGATCGGCCGATGACGATAATCTCGCGTTGGGTACTCGGGTTATTTGGCGGTGCTCATCGGCGACCGATAACTCCGTCGAATCCGTCCGGGTGTTGTTGGCCTTGGTCTCGCGTTTTGAATAATTGCTCTTATTCATGATTTTAAATTCGTTTCGTTTTGATTTGTGACAATTCAAAAGTTAACAAACCCAGATCAGCTTTTCGTGTCATTCACATGTCAGAGTAGCATTAGCTAAATTCTACATGCGCAAGTGGAAAGTTTTTCCTCTGCCACCGATTTTTCCACTGATCTTGGCCATCGTGACCATGGTCAAGCTTTTTGGCCCGCAGCTCAAATGGAAGTGAATAGCTTCGCATTCGCATTTGTTAATTTAATTATATTCAAAGGCATTTCCCTTAAATCCGCTGACTTGGCCAAAATGCAGCTCTCGTTACCTTTGACACTACTCTGAAAATTTCGCGATTTGTAATGCTTGGTCGCGATATATATTATGTAGTTTCTTACTCTATGATTAAACCTGATGCGCATTTATTTACACAGGGAATCCCATGAGGCTAAATGCCGCATTTAAAATAAATTCGATAAGAACAAATATCGCAAAATACCGATGTTTAACGATATTTTGTTAGTGCCACCACTACAAAAGCTGTTTTCTATAAGGAAGGTTGGCGCAATTTATGATTTCTTTCGAATATAAATCTATTTTGTATAAAAATGACTGAAAACAAGGGCGCGCGCTGCAAATTCTGCTAGCAGTACCACAGTGCATTACTGTCGTCCAAGTAGGCAAATGCCTCGGTCGTATTATGTGTCCTGTTGGGCTTTAAAGATATTCGTAAACTTGCTCATATTCATGATTTTGAATTTATTTCGTTTTGATTTGCGACAATTCAAAAGTAAACAAACCCAGGTCAGCTGCTCGTGTCATTCACATGTCAGAATAGCATTAACTAAATGCGCCAATGGAATCAGGCACATTTAAAAAGTCCACTAATGCGCCAATGGAATCCGGCTATTAATTAAAAATATTAACATTTGTTTTTTGGAGAGATAATGTTAAAGAACATAATAATACAAAAATAAATAAACTAAATCCAGCAACTACTGATTTTTGGTAAATATGAAGAGCATGTTCAATTTTCTTGGCCTTAAAGACGCGATGTACACCATCACGTAATATCGATACTATTTCCGATGGTTTTCCAGCTCCACTGCAAGGTGGCAACGTTCTTCCGAACGTATGGTGGCAACGTTGGTCAGCAAAACAAACATTTTGAGCGAGCGGGACTTAACATTTCTGTTAGCAAATTGACGATGGGAGAGCAAGAGAGCCGTTAAATTCAATCGGCAGCATAGAGTAATAATGTAGTTTATAGTATAGTTTCCTACTCTATGCAATCGGCAGAAAGAGAGCGAGCGGGACGGTTGTGTTGCGCTGCGAGTGAGTGTTTTCCTGGTCGCGTTTTTGCGCCGCCGACAATTTCTGTGAATTAATTCGGTGAATAAAATCCAAAATCTGAACATATTCGTCGACAGCCAGAACCGGACGGAAGAGCGGCACTTCTTCTCGCTCGCACCGTAAAGGTCGTTCGTGTGGGAGTGTGAGTCTGTGTGTGTGTGTGTCGAGGAGGGGAGTGAAAAATACTCGCGAAACCAAACAAAGTGCACAAAGGCGTCGATTAAGTTTAAAGCTGCATAAGCATAAGCGAAAAAAGCTGATTTTGTTAATTCGCAAAGTAGAAGAATAACGAGTGACCGAGCGCAATAAGATAAAATTGAAGGTTATTCTTTGTGCGTGAGAGAGGAGAGGAGGCGTGAGAGCCATTGTAAACAAAAAAGCAAGTGTTGAGCGGGGGAGCCAAAGAGAGCGGGGAGGAGAGAGCGCAGGCTCGCTCGCACGAAGAAAGCAGCGCACAAAGCGAACGCTGAAAATGTCAATAAACTCTGCGAAAGGTGAGGAAAAACGCAACAAGAGCGCCGCGGTCGTGTAAAAAAAACCCAAGCGGACAAGCGAAGAAAGCCGTTTAAAGAGAGAGGCAAGTGCTGGGTGTGCGTGTGTGTGTGTGAGAGAGAGTAAGCACTGGTGTGTGTTGGATCTGATTGGACTGTGTGCAGAAAAGTCTTTCTGGTTTCGATTCGCTTGCAACAGTTTCCGCGTTCGCAGCTCCAACAAGTTTCGTCGTTTTTTCGCTGCATTTTTTGTTTGCTTTATTGCCAACTTTTTCCTCTGCCCCCCGCTCGTTAGCCCTTACAAGTGTAATTTACTGTTAATAATTCACAGGTGAAAAATCCAATTGGCGGCCGATATTTGTCGTGCAATAATTTTCTCGCTTCCAATTGGGCAAATAATATACAAGAAACGTATTTTGATGAAACAAAACCCAGAAATCAAATGCAAACCAAACTAATATAAAAATAAATAATACAAAATGAAAAAAACTAGATTGTGAAATCGTGAAATTTTAACAGGTTTTGGGATAATCAATTTTATCTACACATCAACGAAAATACAAAAGATAGACTGATAGACTGAAAAAGGGACACTTGGAATATTTCATTTATTTTGAAATGGTAAGTAAAGCATTTGCAAAATGTCTAACCTAAAATACGAAAGTATTATATTATTGTTTATTATTATATAGAATAACTGAGTATAAATCAGACCAGTTCAGTTGTTGCAAAACCTATGTATAAACAAAAAAAAGTTTGTTTCCAGGTTATCAATTAATGTTTATCGAATTTGTAATTAAATCATTCAACAGATATGGTGTCTTGGAAAAAAATCCCAACTCTAAAGTTATTTATCCTTTTAAACTACTAAGGCAGCGTGTATATAAAATACAAAAATAGTTCTCACAACATTTTTTGTTGGTAAAATAAAAAAATTTTTAGGAAATCCTTGGGCTGATTTAACACCCCAAACCTTTATGTTTATGTGTTCAAGAAATTAGCTCCACAAAAAGCAGCAAAACACATATTCTATTTTTCCCATTACACACACTTCAGACCTTGCCCCATAAAGCCCCCTCCAAAACGCCAAAAAGGCGTTTCGATCCCCCGAAATCAAAACAAATTAATTAACGCCCCAATCTGCGGAAATATATCGGAATGGGGCACTGGAGAAGTGACTGGCTGCTGCTGGGCCACTTCACTTCATAAGCAGTGAAATGTAACGGCGCCGTTGGCCACTTGAACTACTTTCATGTGGCGGCTCTGGCCCGAACCCGAACTTGGCTGACTCACTCCTTTGACATACACTTTTCAGGGGTGCCACTGAAGGCATTTCAGCTTCAGTTTCGCTCCAACTCCATTCAATAGCACCAATCGCACTATTGAACCAGACGTTTGCCTTAATAGTACAAACATTTAATGTGATTAGTAGATGAAACAAGCTCAAACCGCTGGCTGAACTTACCTTAAAAGAATTCGTTTGCATTTTAAGTTGGCAAACTTGGTTAATTCGGATTTTCGAAGCTTGTACCAGCAACGCCGAATTAGGAAAGCAATATTCAACAAATTATATATTGAAGCTATTTATTTTTCATTTTAATTAATCAGCAAGAAGTTTTTATATTTTGAACAAGTTCTTTACTTCATCGGATTGCTTACTTTTTGTGTCCTTTCCTTTTGTACTCTTAGTATTTGGTACCTGTCCCAACATAATATTTTTCGATTAAAACTGGCTTTATTTAGAATACATGGCAGCTATAGGATATAGTCAAGCAAAATTGATCAAAACTCATGGACTGATTAACTTTAATACCATAAAAACAGTATTTAGTATAAAAACGAGACCTTTATAATAATGGGTGCTATAGGATATAGACATCCGAACTGTGCCGCTGGTATATATAGTTATGCTTAAATATTATACTATTTTATTAACCCATCGAAATGTAAAACAGTTTTTCAAAATTTGCCAAAAGCTAAAAATCTTCTGGTTTTCATTATACATATTTTTCCCAGTGCAGGCACCGGAAATTGGTTCGACAACGACTCTGAATAAATAAGAGCAGAATTGGTCTTGATCAGGGAGTATCCGAGGAGGATAGTTGGCTGGATAAAGCAATGCATGACTCTGAACAATATGGTCCAGGCACGTTTTGAACTCTACCATACATTTCTTGAGCCGGAGCTGAGTCTTTGCTCTTTCTGCTTTCGCGTGAGGCTTGACCCAGAAAAATTGAACACTCGACGACTCCGTGGTTGCCAATGCTGCTGATGAGGTTGAGGTTGGCCAAATTCGGTGCTTCGATGAGCTCCAAGAGGGTCTGTCTCATAAACCATTTTAAATGTAGGGCTTATTATTTGACTGCGTCGGTTTGCGGTTTTCGTGTTTATTGGCTGTTCTTACTTAGCTGCTGTTGCAGCTTCAACTCAACTCTTTTGGTTTTGTAAGCTGGGTTTTTGAACTCTCCGCCATCTCTTCTCTACCTGTCTGAAGGTTAACCGCGAGTTTGTAACTTGATTGGCTCCGCTTTATGTTCTTGAACTCTTTTTAAACGTGTGCGGCCTAAAATGTTAATTTACAGCTTTTGTGGTCGTAACTTTGGCCGAGGGCAGCTGTCCTGCGAAAGGCAATGGGTCTAAAGAAGTCGCGAATCTGGTCCATTGTAATGAGGTGGAGTTGTAGTTAAAAAAGGCGTGCAACTTATTTTTGGACTTGCGAATGTGTCATCCTAACTACTGGCGAGGTTTTGTTTGGGACACTCGAAATCTTGGTTTTCGAAAGACATCTCAGCTTAAGTTGTACATTAATCGTCTTCTTCATGCAACTGAGAATACATAGTTTCTATATCTATTTCGCTTGGAGATCATAAGTTGTCTAGCCATGTCTTATGTCGATCTTGAACTGCCACAACTTAACTATTTTTCGTTCGTCAGTTAGGTGCCAGCTGTTAACCGGTTTTCGAAAATGCCCTCGGGAGTTCCAACCGCCTCCGATTGCCGCGGTTGCCATCCCACCAACCCCTTGCAATATATAAACTTATACATGTTCTTCGACGTACGCCTGTTCCTCTCCCTGGCTTTGACTCTGACTACTAATTAGCAGTTAACAATTGCAACATTGACCTCCTCACCATAATTCTTTTTCTCATTCTAGTTGGCAAGCCACGAGAATAGCGAGAATGCTTTTTGCTTTGTTCCATTGTCTATGGCGAAAGATCCAACTGAAAGATACAAAAACATGGCAGCAGGTTTACCTTGTTGTAACCTCGCCAAGAACTCCAGGTGAAAAGCCAGAAAAAAAAGCACCAAACCATACCCAAGTTTTCCTTTGTCTATGAACGGGAAAATGAGATGAAAGGTAGTTCTGCTATGGGACTATTGGATGGCAACAACAAAGTTGCTTTAATAATATTAAAAATTGCAAGTCACAAGTTACAACAAAAATAAAATGAAAATATTTGTATAAAATTGCATATTTTTGATTTTTAGCACAATTTCCTAGTCATAAATATGAAAGCTGTATTCGAGTATGCAAAACCCCCAAGATCGTTAAATACTTGGTAATAATTAAATATAAATCCTGACTGGGCAATGAAAATATTTAGTTAATTAATTTATTAAATTTAAAATTTACATCCCAAGAGACTTGGTTTTACTTTTAACAATAAGCTTTGTGGACAGTGTGTTCTTTCTTATTTTTGTCTGCACTTTTTGGCCATTTGCAGTTGCCTGTCGTTGCTGTCGCCCTCTCGCTGTTCTTGTGCCATTTTGTTTGATTTTTGCAACTGGTAACTTTACCGATTGCCATAACTGTGCAGCCGTTGGTTCGGTTGCCGTTGTACGCTGTTTTGTCGTTTTTGTTTCGTCTATACGTGTCTATATAAACATGATCACTTTGGCCGATTTCTTGGCCTGGCCTGGCACTTTTCGGTTGGTGGTAGAAGGTGATGCGGGGCCATTGAAAAAGACGAAAAACATGTTGCTTAAATGTTGTTGCTGCTGCAGTTGCATTTACAAGCAGCCCACTGTTGTTGTCGACGGTTGTGCAACAATTGGAAGCATTTTTGGACTGCTTTTGAACTTTTGTTGCAAACTGAAATATATGTGTGTGTTGCCTTGCTTAAACTTATTAGTATTGTGTATTAATCAAATTACAGAGAAATTAAGGCAATACTTTTAATTTTTTACCGTTGTTAAAGGTATTATAATTTGGTTCAGAAGTTTGTAAAGGATTTGCAATTCTGTAAAGTATATGTTAATAAGGTATATATTAATATATATATGTATAATATAGTTTGATAAATTGTATGACTATATCTGTAAGAGACAAGAGTTAACCCGATCTATGGGGTGCGAAAATTTATAGGCTCTATAGATTTAAAACCGAGATGGCGTTAGTAATAGTTAAGTTTTCGAACGAGTTTTGGAGTAAAATGTAAGTAGATGAAATATTTACTTGCAAACTGTAAGCTTAAAGTTACAAACTAAAGCTACAGCGAGAATATCAGCCAAAGCTACATTGGCTTTTGGGCGTAGTTGAAATATTTTTTAAGGGTGTTTATTAATTTTCAATAAAAAAAAGCAGTAAAAATTTACCAAACCAACACCTTTACCATTAATAAAATAATTTTCGAGCTATCAACAGATTCTGCCCTTGTGTTGTCAGTCATTCAATTAAGGAGATACCCCGCGCAGAGTCTACAGAATGCGATGATAAATTAATGTTCTTGTTTATATATTTATAACACTGAAGGTCAGCTAATAAATCCCCGAAAGCAACGCCAAAGGAGCTTAAAAAATCAGGGCCCGGGCAAGTCAAAATTTATGACCATTAGCCAATTTAATTTATGCTAAGAATAAAGAATAACTTGACGATGAAAAAAAAAAGAAGCTGCCGGCTCGGCTCGACTTGTCTGCTGGGATCAGGCTCGACTTGAGACTTGGTCTCGGAAACGAGAAATCGATAAAAATCTCATCAAATTAAGGCAAAACGATAAAAATTGATTGGCGCATGGCTCCAGACTAACGCCTTGATCTGCAGCTTCGACTTAGGCGTCTCGATTGGGGAGAAAAGAAAACAGTGAGTCGGTAAGAAACAAAACCAGTCAATAAAATGTTTTTAGAAACTATTCTAATGCGACGTGGAGGCTGGCCAAAGAAACATTGAACCGAACTGGGTAGCTTCGCTTTGTTTGCTTCGCCAACTACTTTCGTCTGATGACTAATCACCTGAATATTGCCTCCATCAGTCGACCGAACTCCTGAGGTTCTGGCTCCATTTGTGTGGATTTTTGATTTGCATGTGTGTATGTACATATGTGTACGTGTATGCCCTGACAAAGGGTGTTTCACACTAATGTATCTATGATGTTCGGTTGAATATCTTACACAACTACAATTTAGATCGCTTGTGATTATTGTTCTTAAACGTATCTTATAATACGTACTTGATTTTGTATCATATTTATGGTACCCGAATTTGCAGGGTATGAACCTATTCGCGTAGACTTCTGCTGATTCTTTACTCTGCCCTCGTTTGCTTTGCCTTTCGTTTGGTCCTCTTAGTTGCTTTGCTTGATTGGTTCCACTCATTCCTTTCTTTCCACCAATGCTCCCCCGCC